AGTTAAAATGAGGCCGTGGCAGTAGGCCCTAGTCCAATCTGACTGGAGCCAAGACATTTGGACACACAGAGAAACAGCAGGGATGCACAGCGCAAAAGCCACGTGAGGGCACAGAGAGAAGGTGGATGTCTGCAGGCCAAGGAGAGAGGCCTCAGGAAAAACCAGTGCTGCTGACACCTTGGTCCCAGACTTCCAGCCTCCAGAACTGTGAGAAAATTAATTTCTGTTGTTTAAGCCCCCCAGTCTGTGGTGTTATGTTATGGGGGCCCGAGCAAACTAATACTAGGCAGATCCTCTATGCCCTCAGCAAACATTTCCTGTGCCCCGTCTAATATCTAATTTAGATACTGCTTAATGCTCAGTATCTAAAGAGGAATGAAGGGGCTTCCCTGGTGGTCCAGTGGTTAAGACTCTGTGCTCCCAATGTAGGGGGCACAGGTTTGATCCCTAGTTGGGGAACTAAGATCCAGCATGCCACACAGCGTGGCCAAAAACAAACAGAAACAAAACAAAACAAGACAAAACATAATAAGATGGGATGAAGCCTGGGAGGCATTAACTATGGCAGAGCTGCAGTCTCTCAGAGCCTGATGCAGTCTGAGCCACTTTTTTTTTTAAACATTCCTGGTATATTAAAAAAAATACACCAGAGATTTTAAAAATGGTGGTACCTGAGTGGGTGTTGGCTGTGACTTGCTTTGGCTTCCAAGCCTGAAGTCTCACTTTCAGTGAAACTTGGAAACTGACCACCATGTAAAAACCTTGGCCTGAATATTGAATGAGAACCGTCTACGGGGAGGGAGAGGCTTTGTGGAGGTGAAGCAAGGCACCCTGGCTCGCAGCCCGAACGTGGAAGTGAGGCCATGGTGGATACTCCATCCACCATGGAGCTGCCCTAGTAGCCACTGCGAGGAAGGGATAAGCCATCCCCAGTGAACAAAACGGTGGGCAAGAAAATGATTGAAATGGTGTTCAAGCCACTGGGTTTGAAGGTAGTTTGCACCCACAGCAGCGGACAATTAAGAGACTCAAAGCAAGAGGAAGTGGTTGGATTCTGTTAATTGCCTGTGTCACTGAGTTCTGAAGCCCATTTTCTCTGTTGCCTCTCTCCCTGATGTCAGGCTCCCTCCACCCCAGCAAGTCTGGGGTCACTTTTCTGTCTCTGACTCTCTGATGTACCCTTTTGAACGTACCAGTCAGACTCCTCCCTCTGACAACACCATCTTTGGTGTCCTGATTGAATTTTGGGCGCTGTTTAATTGCAAGGCCACAGTCTGATTTAAGTTACTGGGTTCTTCCTAACTTCCTAATATTAATTGCCTGCCATAAGCCAGGCCCAGTCCTAGGAGCTAATGATTAAGGAGAGAACCAGACCAAGAGAGCCCTGTACTCAAGGAATTTAATTCAAGTAAAACCTCGGACTAGCTTTTGTCTTCACATACCAGGCATAAAATGTGACCCAGAGCATCAGTGCAGAAAGGCAAACTGTGCCCTGAAAACAACCTGATAAGCACCCAGGCCTTCCCTAACTTCTTCATCCAGATCTCAGAATTTTATACAAGTACTTTATAGAAGTGATTCATCCTATATTTAAAGGTATAAACATTCTGGGATTACCTGACAGATGTGAGCCTAGGGAACTAGGAAAATAGAACCAACATTTATTGTTTTGTGTGGAATTTAAATTTTTTTTAAAAAGGATCAAAGTAGTCACCAAGGGGAAAAAAATCAATATTTTATTGCACTTCTGAACTTTTTTTTTAACTTTAGTATTGTTTCCGTCTTTACTCCAGCTTTATTGAGCTATGGTTGACATATAACATTGTGTAAGTTTAAGGTTTACAGTGTAATGACTTGATATAAGTATGTATTGCAAAATGATTACCACCATGAGGTTAATTAATATATCCATCACCACACATAGTTACCTTTTGTGTGTGTGTGTGGTCATAACTTTTAAGATCTACTCTCTTAGTAACTGTCAAGCATACAATACAGTATCGCTAACTATAGTCACTATGTTGTACAGTACATCCCCAGAGCTTAGTCATCTTATAACCAGAAGTTTGTACAATTTGACCACCTTTACCTATTTTCCCCATGCTCCCAGCCCCTGGTAATCACTAATTTACTCTGTTTCTATGAGTTTTTTTGTTGTTTGTTTTTTAGATTTTCTATATAAGTGAGATGGTATAGTATTTGGCTTTCTCTGACTTATTTCATTTAGCATAATGCCCTCAAGTTTCATCCATGATGCTGCAAATCTTTATTTGATATGGCTAATTGGCACTGTATACGTATACCACATTTTCTTATCCATCCATCCATTAATAGATGCTGAGGTTGTTTCCACGTCTTGGCTATTGTAAATAATGCTGTAATTTACATGGGGGTGCAGATAACTCTTTGGGATAGTGACTTCACTTCCTTCATATATATACCCAGAAGTGGAATTTCTGGATCATATGGTAGATCTATTTTTAAAAAATTTCTTTTTTGAGGAAACTCTATATTATTTTCCATAGTGGCTGCACCACTTTACATTCCCACCAACAGTGCTCCAGGGTTCCCTTTTCTCCACATCCTGGCCAACACTTGTTATCTCTTAGCTTTTTGATAATAACCATTCTGACGAGTGTGGTGATATCCCACTGTGATTTTCATTTTCATTTCCCTAATGATTAGTGATATTGAGCACCTGTTCATGTACCTGATGGGCATTTGTATGTCTTCTTTGGAAAGATGTCTATTCAGACACTCATTTTAAAATCGTATTATTTGGCTTTTTGCTATTAAGTTGTATGAGTTCCTTATGTATGTTGGATATTAACTCCTTCTCAGATGATTTGCACATATATTCTCTCATTCTGTAGGCTGCCTTTTCATTTTGTTGATCAAATATTTATTTTGAATATTTATGGGGATGGTAGTATCATCATTTCAGGGCTTAAGCCTGTGAAAGGTGTAAAGTCACAGAAATGCAGTTTTCCTGATCCTTTTGGGGAAGGTTACTTCAAGTGCAAAATATGCTTTTTACACAGTTGGGTGGTAATCCTCCACAGAACCAGTTTCATATTTGAGTGAAACTTCCAAGGATCATCCTCACTTAAGGAAGCTCCCTGTATTTCTAGTGGTTTAATTGAGATCTCTCAGGGACAAATCCTCATTCGCTTTGTAAGGGGATAGTAGGTCTTTTTCTGGTTTTCAAAAGGCCTGTATTGGGCCGTCTGCCCCAGGACGTCCCTGGTCAACATTTCTTTAACCACTGTAGTTTATTTAAATATATTTTATGCGGTTTGAAACATTTTATTTCCTTTTCAATTTTACTACCATTTATTGAGCGGCTGTTCTGTGGCAGTGCCACTCAAAGAGCTGTCAGTATATTATTAGGTGATTTACAAAAAATGGGCAGAAGACCTAAATAGACATTTCTCCAAAGACGACATACAGATGGCCAAGAAGCACATGAAAAGCTGCTCGGCATCACTAACTATGAGAGAAATGTAAATCAAAACTACAGTGAGGTATCACCTCACACCAGTTAGAATGGGCATCATCAGAAAATCTACAAACAACAAATGCTGGAGAGGGTGTGGAGAAAAGGGAACCCTCCTACACTGTTGGTGGGAATGTGAATTGATAACAGCCACTATGGAGGTTCCTTAAAAAACTAAAAAACAGAATTACCATATGACCCAGCAATCCCACTACTGGACATATACCCAGAGAAAACCATAATTCAAAAAGACACATGCACCCCAATGTTCATTGCAGCACTATTGACAATAGCCAGGTCATGGAAGCAACCTAAATGCCCATCGAAAGATGAATGGATAAAGAAGATGTGGTACATATATACAGTAGACTATTACTCAGCCATAAAAAGCAACAAAATTGGGTCATTGTAGAGACGTGGATGGACCTAGAGACTGTCACACAGAGTGAAGTAAGTCAGAAAGAGAAAAACAAATATATTAACGCATATATTTGGAATCTAGAAAAATGGTACAAATGAACACGTTTGCAAGGCAAAAATAGAGACACAGATGTAGAGAACAAACGTATGGACACCAAGGGGGGAAGGGGGGATGGGATGAACTGGGAGATTGGGATTGACAGATATACAGTTACTTACATAAAATAGATAACTAATGAGAACCTGCTGTACAGGAACTCCACTTTGCTGTCCAGTAGAAACTAACACAACACTGTAAAACAACTATACCCCAATTTAAAAAAAATTAAAGGAGGATGTTCAGCTTATAAATCATTAAAATAATTTTCATAATAAAAATATATTAGGTGATTTAATTCTAAAAAGCCTTATGAAGTGAATACTGTGACTATCCCCACTTGGCAGATAAGGAAACAAGCTCAGAGAGGTCAAGATCACTCAACTAATAAGAGACCCAGGACTCGCTTGTTCCAGAGCTTGTTCTCTTAACCCCTATTCTTACTTTTCTTTCCACAAGCCAGTAAAAACATCTGAAACGTGTATTCATGCGAATTACAATGGAAATAAAATTAGCAAAACTTCTGTGGCAAAGCTCTAGTTTATCTCCTCACATTTAATCCTAAAAACAACCACAAAGGGGTAACTTGTCTAAGGGGACAAGTTACCTCGGAGTCGGTAGATACCCGGGCCACTCCACTCCGAGAACCTGGTCTCTGGCTGGCATTGCCTTTTCCGGTCCTGCGCTCCCAGAAGTCCCGCCCAGGAGAGGGTAGATTTCCGGAAAGAATTGACGCGAGGAGGCCGGAAAGAGACCAGGGGCGGGGGCCGTTCAGGGCGCTCTAGCATTCCTCCTCTCTATGGCCACCGCCAATTGACACGTCCGGAGCCGCGAGCCTCCTCCCTATTGGACGCGCGGCCTCGCGTAGGCGGGCGGCCCGGCTGGCGGCGCGCTGACTGGCTGGGGCGCCACGCGGGCGGAGGGGCGGTGCGTGGGGCACGCGGACCGAGACCGCCGGCTGCGCTCAGGAGCGGGAGGAGGGGGCGCATGTGGGCTCTCCGCTCGCTGCTGGGGCTGCGGTGCGCGGCCGGGCGCGCCATGTCGCAGGGGCCGACTCGCCGGCCGCGGCCGCCCAAGGACCCGCTGAGGCACCTGCGCACGCGGGAGAAGCGCGGCCCGTCGTGGGGGCCCGGGGGCCCGAACACCGTGTACCTGCAGGTGGTGGCGGCCGGCGGCCGGGATGCAGGCGCTGCGCTCTACGTCTTCTCCGAGTTCAACCGGTCAGTGAGCCACGCCGGGGTCCGGCCGGCCCAGCGGGTCCCCTGGCCAAGCCCTACCCCGCCCCGCAGGCCGCAGTGTGGAGCGCCCAGAGCATCGGGGCCCCTTCCTGGGCTTGGTACCCCGCCCATCTCCCCCTTCCCGGTGTGGATGCGAGAGCCTAGATCCCTTATATCCCCGTCCGTGTGGCTCCGGGAGGCCCCGCTGACCTTTAGACAGAGTTGGGTATAAGCATTCCCTTCCCAAGCCTCGACCCCGAGCCCCCTCCCGTGCACCCCAGGACTAGGGTCTCCTAGTCCGTGTTGGGGGTGGGCAGGTCTGCGGAGGAGGTGATGGGGAAAGGACGCATCTCGCCCCAGTTCGAGCCTACTCAGGCCCCTGATCCCTCCCTGCCTCTGCTGAGGAGGGTTCAAACCTCAGCATCCCAACAGCAGAAATGCGGTTGGTAGCACAGCGCGTGTTTTTAGTTGTTTTCTCCTGTGGTGTACAACAAAGCATATAAACGGTGGCAGAGGTTTCACAGAACCGAATCTAATGACTCTCTGGTGTAATGTTCGTCCTTTAGGTATCTCTTCAACTGCGGGGAAGGCATCCAGCGACTCATGCAGGAGCACAAGTGAGCCAGCCATTTTCCTGCGGGGTGGGGAATGACTCTGCGGCTTTAAGGCAGGAGGGTTGTTACAGCAGGAGAATGGGTCCCTGGTCCTTCTGTTTTGTCCTGCTCCAACGCTTTCTTTTTCTTAGGCTGAAGGTGTCTCGTTTGGACAACATATTCCTGACCCGAATGCACTGGTCTAATGTTGGAGGGCTGTGTGGTGAGTATATTCTTTCCCACGTCAGGGGCTGGGGGGAGGTGTCTGGGATTTTAACCTGCCTGGCCCTTTTTTTTTTGCCGGACTTCGGAGTCCGGGGGGCTCTGGAATTCTTTTTATGCTGGCCCCGTCAGCTGCAGCAGGGAGAATCAAAAGCTGACTCAGAAAAGTAGATTTTAACGTAGACGCTGCCTGCAGGTGTTAACCATCCACCTCATTTATTGAGTTGCTGGACTGGAGGTGTGGGACAAACTGGAGAGTGTGGTGATGGTGATTATAGTCAATATATCAGTATTCACCATTGAGACCGTCCACTAGCTACACACAGATGCCCAATGTCCAGATTACCCCCTCGTTTATGCCCGTCAATTAGAAGGATCGAGATTGTTTTGCCTCCAGATTCTGTAAGGTTCGTGGAGCGGGTAGGAGGGAGTGGAGGCTGAACCAGTCTCATTCCCAGAGCTGAGACTCGGGTGAGGCCAGGAAGCACCCAGGGTGCGGAATCTGTGGCCTGCCTCTGACTTGGCATGATTTTGCACCCGAGGTTCCTCACCCTAGTTTCAGGTCCTGCCCGTTCTAGAGGCATTTGAGTGGTGGCCGGTGTCCCTCGTAGGTCTAGCCAGCATCACTTCTGCTCTGCACATGCACAACAAGCAGAAAACCAGCAAATGGAGTAAGGAGTGCGCCTCCTGGCCGCAGCTACGGGTCAGGGTGATGAGAGATCTGATTTTATTCGTCCCTTTTAGGAATGATTCTTACCTTAAAGGAAACCGGGGTTCCAAAGTGTGTGCTCTCTGGACCTCCACAACTGGTGAGTCTCTCCTGACTCAGCTGTCAAAGCTAAGCCCGCCATTTCAGTGTGAGTAACAAGGGTTCCAATTTTACAAATCAGCCTTCTGCCCTCCAGAGTTAATTGACAGTGGCATAAATACTTTGCCTTTCGAGTTAAAGACACCTGAGTCCATAAACCTTATTAACTGTGACCTTGATTGAGTTACTTTCCTTTCTGGAGCCTCAGCGTCTTCATCTGTGAAATGGTTTGCAGTTGTTAAGGATTAAACGAGGTAACATGCAAAACAAACACTCATTCTTTATCAGGTATTTCACACCATACGGACACGACAGATGTCAGCTTTTATCCTTATTTATTAAATTTCAGACATCTTTGTCCCTTCCCAGCCAGCTTAGGACACTGTCGAGAGGTTGTGTACACATCGTTAGTGTAAGGGTTCACTTCCCAGGTGCTAGGGTAAAAGGCCAGCCCTGTAAAGTGTGTCCCCAGAATAATGCTGCATGGCCGCCCCTCTGTCTTCTTCTTGTTGGTCTGTCCCTACACCTTCTACTGCCATTGCTTCCCATGTCCAATCCTGCCCCCCTGTGACCATCCAGCACCGCGGCCAGAGGGACCCCTCCCAAGCGGAACCGCAGGCAGGTCACTTCATCCTAAAACCCTTCAAGGGTCTTTGTTGTACACACAGTCCAAACGCCTTCACGTGGCCCACAGGTCCTGTCGGCCCAGGCCCTCGCCGGCCCTGGCATCTGTGCCCTGGTCACCAGACGGGGCTGCGGGCCGGCTTTTAGCTCTTCACGGAAGCCGCTTCCTGTCTCAGGCCTTCGCCCATGCACCAGTTCCCCTCTTGCCATGCCTGTGTCCTTCCTTCGGGGCTCACCTCAAAGGGTGTTTGCTCAGGAGCTGCCCCTGACTCTCCAGATGGGTCGGATCCCAGCTCCCCACGTTTTTCATATCTGCAGGTCCCTCAGCACCACGGCTGCTGGTTGTCACTTGTATTGTTTTTGTCTCCCCCTGGATTCTAAGTTCCGTGAGGGCAGGGACCCCATCTTTTCACTGCTGACCCCTTGACATCTAACATATGGTGGACACTCAGTAAATATTTGTATGAAGGAAGTTCAAAATACTCTGTGAACTGTGTTTTATGTTGGTACCTTTGATGCCTCTCGTATACTTGAATGTGTTGCTGTGTCCTCCATCTGTGCAACCATAACTGCTCACTTCCTTATTTTTCTTTCTTAGGAAAAGTACCTGGAAGCTATCAAAATATTTTCTGGTCCACTGAAAGGAATAGACCTGGGTATGTCCTTGATTATGACTCACTGCCATTTCTGTCTCATATGTCCCCGTCTCTCAAATCAGAATCCATAGAAGCTGACGAAATTAAACCTTAAAGTCAAATGCTGCATCCACGCGAGATGAATTTTTAAAATATTGCTTGCTGCACTTTCTGCGCCCTCACCTCCCGCTTCTCCCCAAACACGGGCAGGGGAGGCAGGAGTGAGTTAAAAGCTGCTGCGTGCTGGGTGGGGGTCTCCCTTGGGGCCCCGAGGCTCCGCCCAGGCCCTACAGGTGGTTCTCGTCGGCGGGAGGCGCATGGCCGCTTGATGGGAGGAGGCCTGGCAGATGTGCCGGCAGAGCCCAGTGCGTCTCTGGCTTGTTCTAATGTAGAAACACTAGTATTTTATTTCAGAATGTGTCCCGGGCCTCGCGATGCCGAGCGTTTGCCTGTGTCTCTCACGTTTAAGTCTCAGCTTCGTGTTTATTTTAGTGGGTTATCACCTGTGATCGTCGTGTGTCTTCTCCCATGGCTGACCTAAATATTAGTGGCTGATGAAAATATATTTTCGCTGTTTTCCTAAACACTTTGGTTTGCTCAGAAATTCTGGCTTTAGCGCAGACTCCCACCAGGATTCCAGAGCAGGTTGGCTGCTCGTGGGCAGCGACGTGGGCTTGATCCTCACGCCTCCCTCGTTTGCTGCTGCAGTCACTGTCCTGTGGTCTTCTGCCCACAGCGGTGCGACCCCACTCCGCGCCGGAATACCAGGACGAGACCATGACCGTCTTCCAGGTCCCCGTCCACAGTGAGTGTGAGGCTGCGATTCCTAGGAGTGGGAGGACGTGGGTCCGGGGTCAGGAAGGCAGGTGGCAACAGAAACTGCCGATCACTGGCCTGTGTACCCGGCTTTGTGTTCTGAGCATGATCAGGAAGTTTAGCCAAGGAGTTCCTGCCCTGAAGGAGCTTATGACCTTGAGGACAGACGCGTTTACCTCGTATGTAACGATCGTGATTGCACTTTGGGGTGTCAGGTAATCAGGCTCTGCCCTCAGATCTGCCCGTTTATCGCCAGGGGTCATTGCCACAGGTGTGGGCGCCCTCCTGGGATGCAAGGCCTTGGAGAGTTAGGCACAGGCGAGCCTTGTTTGTAAGCAGCAGCCGTAGCCCGGCGGGAGTGCGGTTGGCGGTCAGAAGGGCTCGAGGGCCTCCTCAGGCCCCGGGGCCCGACGTGCGGTCCTGACGCAGAGACAGGCAGGCTGCACGCGAGGCACTGCCGCATCCGTGCTGCCCTGAGGTCTGGCTGACGCTCTGCGTCGGTCTCCTGACTGCGGGCGAGGTGCAGGGCCAGCTCCTCGCCCGTCACCTGGTCTGAGCTTGCCGCGTGCAGAGGGGGGCAGACGAGCCCGCACCCCCGGCCGGAGGAGCCTGGGACCCGCTGAGAGACGGGCCTGCGCCGGGCCGGCTCACTCCCCTCGCGTGTCCTCCCCCAGCTGCGCCCCCAGCCTGGTGTGCGCCCTGCTCCAGCACGTGGCCCCGCACCCTCTGACACGTGCGAGTGATCACGGCTGAGCCCGCCCTGCGAGCCCCCGAAGACCGGGCAGCTCAGAGGGCCGGGCGGGGCGGGGGTCGCTGAGACCAGCCGCCGTGTGCCTGCCTCTTGGGGCAGGGATTTCTTCGGTTTGCCACATGGTGGCCTGCCGGACCTTAGTTCCACAACCAGGAGTCAAACCCGGGGCCCCTGCAGTGAAAGCATGCAGCCCTAACCACTGGACAGCCAGGGGAGTGTTCTTCTGACCTTGAGACTGAACTGACTGCCCAGTGGTGCCACTCCTCGTGGCGATGGGGAACCTTGGGCCAAGGTCTGTGCGGAGCGTGATGGCGGTGGATAAACCAGCTGGGTGCGCGGGTGCTCTCTGCTCAGCACGCACTCAAGTCCCTGCTGTGGTCAGGCTGGGGCCCGGGCAGAAACCTCGAGATGAGGAGGGTGGGCGCGCGGCCCAGAGCCAGGCGGGGGGGCGGCCAGGAGAGGCCAGGCTGGCATGGTGGGCGACCTGGCTATGAGCTGGCCCTCGGCGTGTGCCACTTGCTCCTTTCCCTTCCTGACCAGGTGAACAGGTGAATGGGAAGCAGCAGCCAGCGCAGAGTGCAGAGAGGCTGAGTCCAGAGCCGTCTCCAGACCCGGGACCGGCGGAAGGGGAGCAGTACCTGGCGGATGGTAATGGCGCGTTGGTGGGGGTGCCAGCCTGTCTTAATCCGTTAGCTGCTTCTGCTCTATGTTCGAATCTTTGTCATAAGGAAGTTCAGTGTGCAAAACACACGCTTTTTCTTATCGCGTTAGGATTCAGCCGTGGGGCAGGTGAGAAGGTTGTCTTTAAAAGCGGCCACACGAAGCTGTAGGGGCCAATCCGCAGCCCTGGGGTGCCCCAAGCTTTGGCTTCAGTTTAACCAGAGGAAGAGCAGGACCTGGCAAATGATTGATTGGGAGGCTTTGTGTTTCTCTTTTTTTTTTTTTGGTATAAAGTTATATTGTTTATTTCATCATACAGTATAGGTCATTAAGTCTTTACGATTCGTTACAGTCCTGGGATTTTTTTTTTGAATTCCCATTTCACTTGTAGCAAGTCAGTGTCATCCCCAAATCAAAGTCACTTCTTTATATGTGCACCCATCCTATCTGCAGAACCTCACACACAAAGAAGGTGTTCCAGCACAGTGTCAGCAGTGCAGAGAAGCCACGATGAACTTCTTGTCTCTCGTTAAGGCAGCAGTAACGCAAGTTAATTTTTCCTGAGTGCAGAACCTAACAGCTAAGCAGACAGAACAGTTATATCAACGAGTGGATTTGCACCTTTTCTTCCAGAATGACAGCCTACTGGGAAACTGGATTAAAATTCCAGGATGAGAGTATCAAACGAATTGGGCTGCTTGAGGATGCTGTTGTCCAGGGATGGGCGGGCTTGATAAGTTACTGTCTCTGCCTCGAGGCCGTGTCTGTCTGAGGACTGACAAGGGGCTGGTCCTCTGTGCTGTCCTTTTTGAGTGGCTTGGGTGAGGGCTGACACCCACGTCGTTTCTGCAGGCCTTGTAGCTTTTGTTATTTCCCATATTCTTACACTTGTTTGTAAAGCACGTTACAACTTATTTTTCCCCCTCATCTCCACTTCTAGGTAAAATGTGTCATTTTTTAAAACATTTCACTTGCCATTTTCTGGTTGGCATTTTGCATTTTTGTTTACTCACATCTCAACGTGAGTAGGAAAAAGAAAAGATCTGCTTGAGAAAAAAATACCAGTGTTTCTTTGACCTTTGTATCCGAACAGTTCCATCCATTTAAGTTTGTGTGAAGTCAGATTAGGTATCAGATGATCACTGATCTGTGGCACCTGGAGACATTGCTATTTACCTTGTGTGGTCGGATTTGTTTCTCCTCAGGTGTTGGCCAGAAAATGCACGGCAGGGACCCCTCCTTGGTTGTAGCTTTTGTCTGTAAGGTAAGCACCTTGCTGGACGCTCTACATGAACGTGTGTCTGGTGACCCAAGGGTTTCTGGTAGTTTGAAGGTAGCAGCTCCTGCCGTCACCTGTGTTCAGAGGAAACAGTTGCCCTGGTTCCCAGTAAACCACCTATGCTTGTATGTACTTCCAGATTCTCTTCCAGCCAGAGTCAGGCTACAGAGACATGTTTCATATTTGGCTGAGAGCCTCCCTCTTGAACTTCAGAAATAGTTGATAAGTTTCTGAAGTTAAAGACTACTTTTATTTTTTTTTAGGAATTTTTTTTTTGTTTGAAGTGTAGTTGATTTACAGTGTTGTGTTAATTACTGCTGTATAGCAAAGGGACTCGGTTATACACATATACATTCTTTTTTATATTCTTTTTCATTATGGTTTATCACAGGATATTGAAGACAGTTCCCTGTGCTATGCAGTAGGACCTTGCTGTGTATCCATTCTGTATATAATACTTTGCATCTGCTAATCCCAACCTCCCACTCCATCCCTCCCCTGCCCCACACCCACCACAAGTCTGTTCTCTATGTCTGTGGGTCTGTTTCATAGATAAGTTTGTTTGTGTCATATTTTAGATTCCACATATTAGTGATAGCATATGGTATTTGTCTTTCTCTTTCTGACTTACTTCACTTAGTATGATAATCTCTAGTTGGCATCCAAGTTACTGCAAATGGCATTATTTCATTCTTTTTTATGGCTGAGGAGTATTCCATTGTATATATGTACCACATCTTTATTCATTCATCTGCTGATGGACATTTAGGTGGTTTCTATGTCTTGGCTGTTGTGAATAGTGCTGCTGTGAACATAGGGGTGCATGTATCTTTTTGAATTAGACGTTTGTCTGGATATATGCCCAGGAGTGGGATTGCTGGATTGTATGGTAATTCTGTTTTTGGTTTTCTGAGGAACCTCCATACTGTTTTCCATAGTGGCTGCACCAATTTACATTTGCACCAACAGTGTAGGAGGATTCCCTTTTCTCCACACCCTCTCCAGCATTTATTTGTAGACTTTTGAACGATGGCCATTCTGACCGGTGTGAGGTGGTAGCTCATTGTAGTTTTGATTTGCATTTCTCTAATAATTAGCAGTGTTGAGTGTCTTTTCATGTGCCTGTTGGCCATCTGTATGTCGTCTTTGGAGAAATATCTGTTTAGGTCTAATGCCCATTTTTGGATTGGGTTGTTTGGTTTTTCTGGTGTTGAGTTGTATGAGCAGTTTGTATATTTTGGAAATTAGCCCTTGTTAGTTGCACTGTTTGCAAGTATTTTCTTCCATTCTACAGGTTGTCTTTTCATTTTGTTTATGGTTTCCTTTGCTGTGCAAAAGCTTGTAAGTTTGATTAAGTCCCATTTGTTTGTTTTTATTTCTGTTGCCTTGGGAGACCAAGAAAACATTGGTAGGGTTTATGTCAGAGAATGTTTTGACTATGTTCTCTTCTAGGAGTTTCATGGTGTCATGTCTTATGTTTAATTCTTTAAGCCATTTTGAGTTTACTTTTGTGTATGGTGAGAAGGTGTGTCTAACTTCATTGATTTACATGTGGCTGTCCAACTTTCCCTACACCACTTGCTGAAGAGACTGTTTTTCCTGTTGTATATTCTTGCCTCCTTTGTTGAAGATTAATTGGCGGTAGGTGTGTGGGTTTATTTCTGGGCTCTCTCTTTGGTTCTATTGATCCATTTGTCTGTTTTTGTGGCAGTACCATGCTGTTTTGCTTGCTGTAGCTTTGTAGTATTGTCTGAAGTCTGGGGCAGGTTATGCTTCCTGCTTTGTTCTTTTTCTTCAGGATTGCTTTGGCAATTCTGGATCTTTTGTGGTTCCATATGAATTTTAGGATTGTTCTACTTCTTTGAAAAATGTCATGGGTAATTTGATAGGGATCACATTACATCTGTAGATTGCTTTGGGTAGTATGGCCATTTTAACAATATTAATTCCTCCTGTTCAAGAGCATGGGATATCTTTCCATTTCTTTAAATCATCTTCAACTTGCTTTATTAATGTTTTATAGTTCTCAGCATATGTCTTTCACCTCCTTGGCAAGGTTTATTCCTAAGTATTTTATTCTTTGGGTTGTGATTTTAAAAGGTATTTTTTTACATTCCCTTTCTGGTATTTCATTGTTGATGTAAAGAAATGCAAGTGATTTCTGTGTGTTAATCTTGTATCCTGCTACCTTGCTGAATTGGTTTATCAGTTCTGGTAGTTTCTGTGTGTAGTCTTTAGGGGGTTTCTATATATAGTATCATATTATTTGCAAATAGTGACAGTTTTGCCTCTTCCCTTCCAATTTGGATACCTTTAATTTCTTTTTCTTCTCTGATTACTGTGGCTAGGACTTCCAATACTATGTTGAATAGAAGAGGTGAGAGTGGAACATCCTTGTTCCAGATTTTAGCAGGAAGGCTTTCAGCTTTTCACCATTGAGTATTATGTTGGCTGTGGGTTTGTCATAAATAGCTTTTATTATCTTGAGACATGGTCCCTCTATATGCAGTTTGATAAGGGTTTTTATCATGAATGGATGTTGAATTTTGTCGAATGCTTTTTCTGCATCTATTGAGATGATCGTGTGTTTTTTGTCTTTTGTTGACGTGGTGTATCACATTGATTTGAGTATGTTGAACCATCCTTGTGAACTTGGGATGAATCCCACTTGGTCGTGGTGTGTGATCTTTTTTGTGTATCGTTGGGTTCAGTTTGCTAATATTTTGTTGAATTTTTGCATCTATATTCATCAAAGACGTTGGCCTGTAATTTTCCTTTTTGGTGTTGTCTTTGTCTGGTTTTGGTATCAGGGTGATGATGGCTTCATAGAATGTCTTTGGGAGTGTTCCCTCCCCTTCAATTTTTTGGAAGAGTTTGAGAAGGATTAAAGGACTACTTTTTCACAAAAAGCTTTGTTTCCCTTCAAATGAATCAGGCCTTTATTGAGGCTCCTTCACCTTTCAGTTTATATCATCTTTCTGTAGTTGTTACACTGCTGACGTACTAATTTTTTTTATTGGAGTATAGTTGCTTTACAGTATTGTGTTTCTACCGTATAGCAAAGTGAATCAGCTATACGTATACATATATCCCCTATTTTTTTGGATTTCCTGCTGATTTACGTCACCACAGAATTGGGTAGAGTTCCCTGAGCTATACAATAGATTCTCATTAATTATCTATTTTATACATAGTATCAATAGTGTATACATGTCAGTCTCAATCTCCCAGTTCACCCCCCCCACTTGGTAGCTATACATTTCTTCTCTACATCTGTGTGTCTATTCTGCTTTGTAAATAAGAGTGTCTACACCAATTTTTTCAGATTTGACATGTATGCTTTAATATATTTGTTTTTCTCTTTCTGACTTACTTCACTCTGTTTGACAGTTTTCTAGATCCATCCATATCTCTACAGATGACCCAATTTTGTTCCTTTTTATGGCTGAGTAATTGTCCATTGTATATATGTGCCACATCTTCTTTATCCATTCATCTGTTGATGGACACTTAGGTTGCTTCCATGTCCTGGGTATTGTAAATAGAGCTGCAGTGGACATTGTGGTGCATGTCTCTTTTTGAATTATGGTTTTCTCGGGGTATATGCCCAGTAGTGGGATTGCTGGGTCATTTGGTAGTTCTATTTTTAGTTTTTTAAGGAACCTCCATACTGTTCTCCATACTGGCTGTATCAATTTACATTCCCACCAACAGTGCAGGAGGGTTCCCTTTCCTCCACACCCTCTCCAGCCTTCATTGTTTGTTGACTGTTTGACAGTGGCCGTTCTGACCAGTGTAAGGTGATAACCTGGTTGTTTTGGTTTGCATTTCTCTAATATTTTGCAATGTTGGGCATGTTTTCATGTGGTTTTTTGTAAACGGGGTAAGTAAAATGCACCTCTTGAAACTGGCTTCTCAAGTGTCTGCCCTCTTCTGAATTCTTCTGCAGTGCCCTACCTGGGGCATTTCTGGAGGACAGGTGTCTTTCCTTGACAGCCCCACAGGCCTTGTGAGTATTCAGTGCCCATCAGCACGGGTTTCAAAGCTGTTGTTACGGGAAAGAGGCACAAGGCGGCAGCACTTCTCCATGCTCCACTCTTGTTTTTTCTTTTTCTTTTCTTTTAATTTAATTTTTATTTTATATTGGAGTAGAGTTGATTTCTTCCAAGGTTGTGTTTGTTTTAGGCATATAGGAACTTGATTTAGTTATACATTGACATATATGTATTCTTTCTCAGTTTCTTTTCCCCAGTGTAAGTTCTTACAGTGTGTTCAGTACCGTTCCCTGTGCTATTCAGTAGGTCCTTTTTGAATATCGACTGAATATAACCAACCCCCTAAATTATCCCCCCCATCTTTCCTTTTCGATAACCATAAGTTTGTTTTCTTAGTCTGTGAGTCTGTTTCTCTTTTGTAAATTAGTTGGATTGTATGAATGTATAGATTGCACCTGTAATTGATATGATATTTGTCTTTCTCTGACCTACTTCACTGAGTTTGGTAATCTCTCGGTCCATCCTTGTTGCTGGAAATGGCATTAGTTCATTCTTTTTTTATGGCCGAGTAGTATTCCAGTGCATATACGTACCACATATGCTTCATTCATCTGTCGTCGGACGATTTGGGTGCTTCTCTGTCTTGGCTGTTGTAAATAGTGCTGCCCTGAAAATAGGGGTGCTTGTGTCCTTTCGAATTAGGATTTTCTCTGGATCTAAGCCCAGGACTGGGATTGCTGGATCATATGCTAACTCTATGTTTAGTTTTTTAAGGAACCTCCATACTGTTCTCCATAGCGGCTGTACCAATTTAAATCCCCACCAACGGTGTAGGAGGGTTCTCTCTTCCCCATGCCCTCTCCAGCATTTATTCTCTGTAGACTTTTTTTTGACGATGACACCATTCTGACCAGTGTGAGGTGATACCTCATTGTAATTTTGATTTGCATTTCTTTAATACTGACTGATGTTGAGTATCTTTCCATGTGC